TTAACATCCGGAGCCGCTCGCACCGAGCACAGCCCCGGCGAGCCGCTGCTCTCCCCCGCTTTCGGGAGAAAACAGGGTATCCTCCCCTGAAACTTCGTCTCCCGGCCGAGGCTCTCGCACCCCCCACTCCCCCGGTAACGGGCCCTGCGGGGAGGGCCTTTTCGCCTCCCCCCTGTCGCCCTCCTCGGTCCGGCGGTGGCCGGCGCATCCCTCCCCCGAAGGGATTATTTCGCCAAACGAAACAAGCGGCCGCGAGCTGCCCCCGCCAAACTTTCCACCCACCCTCGCCGGGCCCCGCTCGGCTCCCCTCGGTGCCGCATCTCCTCGGTCTCCCCGCGGCCGCCCTTTGTCAGGGCCGGGTGGGGCCGGGGCCGCTCCCCGTATCTTCCGCGGCTGGGCACAGCGTCCCGGGCACGGCAGCCGCGTCCCGGGCAGGGCCGCCGCCTCACGGCATTGTTCCCTCCGCTGGTGCCGCCGCTGTTCCCCGGCCGCGCGCTGGGGCCCCTCCGCGGGTACTCACCGGGGAGAGAGGGAATATAATCCTCGCCCGACAAGTGGCACAAAGCCGGGCTGCGGCCCCCGCTGCCTCCCGGCGCTATTGTATCAGAGCAGCTCCATGGCCGGGGCGGCGGCGGGGGCGAGGCGGGGAGGGGAGGTGGCCGGGGAGGCGAGCGGTGCAGATGGACCCGATGCAGTGAGTGACTGGCACACAGACACACACTTTTTGTTTGCTGCACATAATCTGCCCAATGACGCGTGACAGCCCACGTCCCCTCCCTTTAACCCCTTCGGGGGCTGCCCGCTCACTGCCTGCCCGCCGCCAGCCCCTCACCTGGACACCGGGTACCTACGGAAAGGGGAATAGTGGAGGGACACACCGGGGAGCACCCATACACACGCTCCGCGTTACCCCTGGCAGCGTGCGGGTTTGGGGGCCGCCGCTCCGGCCCAGCAGTGAGTGCGGGGCGGGGAGCCGGGAGGAGTCCGACGACGGCTCTGCCCGGCACCAGGTTCCCGGCGGTCGCCTCCCCCGCTCTGTCCCGTCCGTCACCTGCCGGGCGAGTTCTCAAATACACGAATAAGATCCTTCCTCTCCGTGGTGAAGGCAGGCGGGGATGCCCTTGCACCTCAAGGGAAGGCGCCCGGCCGAGGCCCGACGTGCAGGTGGCGGGAGTGGCAGTCCCGGTGGTGCGGAGCAGGGAGAGCCGCCGACGGGGCGGCCCCAATTACGGCAGAGCTCCCCCTTCACGGGGTACGGGGCTCGCACTACCCGCACTCGCGGGGCTCTGGTGCCCGCGGCCACGCACGCAGGTTCGGTAAGCGGCGGATGCTCCGTGCCAAAAAGAGGGTTTCACGGAGCGGAGGAGAGTTCACCGGTTGCTCCCTCGTCTCCGTCTTTTCACACACACACACACACACACACACACACAGAAAAAACCAAACAGGCTAAAAAAATAATATTAAAAATAGAATTTAACACACCTCCCTCCAAACTAAACAAAAGAGACAAAGCGTTTTCCAGAGGCGAACAACGTTTGCAATCAGGGAATAGGCTGATGTTTGGCTTTCAAATTCACTTATCCTCTACATAATTATGATTTTCCTTGCATTAGGATTAAAGGCTGCATATAATATGCTTTCAACATTTATCTTATTAATTCGACAAAACACAGCGTCTGCTAAAAGCGGGGATTGTAATAACATTAAGAAGATGGGAGTCTGTAAAAATTTGGATCTTAATTCCTGCTCAAAAGTTTCTTCCCCCCCTTTTTGTGTGTGTGTGTGGGTTTTTTGTTTGTTTGTTTGTTTGTTGGCTTGGTTTGGGTGTCGTCCCCCCCATCCCGTATATATTTTTTATAATGCTGCAGCGCTCGCTGTGTGACAGAAATTGTCCGAATGACTGTCATTAATGGGGGGGGGGGGCGGGGGAAGGAAAGAAAACCTACGCATTATTTTTATTCGTGAGAATTTTAAGGGACACCACGGTACATAAACTACCTCGAAATCGCTTCGGTATTATCTCCACAACCGAAATTCCCCGGTACCGGAAAGGACCGTAGCGGCGTTTCCGAGCATTTCTTCAGCCTCTGATGCCGCCGTACGAGCCAACCTCCGGCAGCAGCGTCGCCCCAGCCTCGCAGAACGACACTTTGATGTTTGCAGACTCTTTCCTCGGTATTTTACGCTTCCAGGCGCCACGGCCGCGAAGCGCCCACCTCAACCCTGACCGACCCCGGCAGAGCCTGGTCCCGGTGCCCGCGGCGCAGAAAAGCCACCGTGAAGTACGGGCGGCTCGGGGAGGCAGCCTCTCCCCCGGCTCACCGAGCGACAGCACCGGAATTTTGGGGGTGGAACGGAGGACCCACGGCCCGGCGAGGCCTCTGGTTACCCCGCAGGGGCCGTACGCAGACTGCCTGCCGCCGCCCTAAACAACACGAGGAATATCTCGTTATATATCCTCGTGTTATGTATAAATCTCCTGCGGAGAGCTGAGACCTGGGCTCAGGAGCTCCAGCCGCCCCACGCCGTTCCCCACGGCTTCAAGCCCCCCACAAGCACAGCGGCGACCTCCCCCCACCCCCCGATTTCCCCGACGGCGCCCATCGACAACCGGCTCTCTGGGAAGGAGAGTCCCCGGCAGCGGCGAGGGCAGGACCAAAACTGTGCTCAGATCGGGCCAGGCAGGCAAACGCCGGTCCTACAGACTCTCAGGGCTGTTGGGTGTACAGCCCCAGGGTCTGCCCCTACCTAGAGGGGCAGGGTGGCTGGCACCCCATGGGCCGGTGGGGTAGTGATGATCAGTCACCAGGATCGCTTCAGCTCTCCGAGGGAAGCACCAGTTTGTACTGCGATGAACTACTATGTGGATGGATAGTGGATCTGTCTCCCTGAGGATGCTAGGACACCCTCCCTGAGCCTCGTCCTTTGTGCCTGGATTTCACCCAGCAAGGTGAAGGGGAAAGGAGTGAGGTGAGGCTCAGAAAGATGCCTGCATCCCTTGGGAAAAGCCGCCTCAAAGTTTTGACATGCAACCAGGCCTGCAGATGTATAGCTACTCCTCTGAGGACACATAGACACACCTTAGAGTCAGCTTGCAGGTGACTACCCTAAAGTCATCTGTGAAATAAAATAGCTGAGGAAACACCAAGTTACCAGGAGCGCACAAGCCCAGCCATGATTGTCCAGGGGATGTCGAGGACCACAGGGAAGAAGAATGGATGAAGGGATGTATGTGCAAAGCTGCCCTGCACCCCTGTCTGCCTGCTGCTGCCATGGGCAGGGCTAGTCCGTGGTCCTCAGGGGGAGCACACCGAAGAGAATGGAAAAGCAACAGGAAATGTGGAGCCGCAAGCTTCCCCGGTGTCTGAAGAAATGCAGGCAGAATGGTTCCCCTCCCCTGAGACCGACAGGCAGCTAGGCCTCTGTAGTGGAAATAAACTGGGGCCTCAGCTGAATGACAAATTTAACTGCATTTAACTGTTACTGGGCAGTCCTGTGCCTGGGTGTCCACAGCACCACCGCCATGCTGCAGAACCCCAAACCTTGGCATGGAGAAGCAGGATTTTCTCCTTCTGGAACAGCAAGCATGGGGACTCAGCTAGGACTCCTCCGCCACACAACCAGCAAGATGTTTTCCCACCAGCAGGCCCTAGCCATGGCTGGGACAAGCAGGCACTGCCTGTCCTACCTTATTTCCAGCTCAGTTCCTAAACATCCTTCTGTCCCTGCCCCTTCCTATTTCCATCAACCCTTCAGCTACATCTCACTGATGCTGGACTCCCAGGTCAAGCCACCACCATAAAACCATAAAGCCCTTTTTGCCAAGCACTGGCTGTGGGTTGCCCCAAAATGGAGCAAACACTCCTGCTTCCCCCAGAGGCTCAGGCAGCCCCAGTGGGTCTGAGCATCCATCTCTTCTCCACCCGTGTTATCCCGACTCAGAAATGCCATAAGCACCTCTGCTATTTCTTAAGCCCCTGATGGTGCTTGAGTTTCCCCTGCACTTTTCTGAGCAAGCACAGAGACTAGGTAGAAATATTAATTTGTATATTCCCCAAAGGTCAAAGAACTTTTTTACCACAGACCAGAAAACAGACCACTGAATATAATACAGGGTGGTTAGTCCAGTAGTTAATGTATAGCCCCAAATCTGACTTTGTATCTCAAAAATCAATTTGCTCAACAAGTTTTTTCTCCTCACTTGACCTGATAGTAGCCACTGAGATTTAAAACCTGGAAAGTTTTCACCTAGCTTCATCTTAAAATGCCTTTAAAAACAACCTGGCAGAAGATACTATGGGTTGTAAGGGGAGAAATAGAAGTGGGGAACTCCTGTAGGGCTGAAATCTACTTCTACCTCCTGTACACCCTTTGCCTTTTGTCCCTGTGTGCCACCACCAGTGTCCAATGTTGGGGCTGGAGCCCAACCCACTGCATGGTCCTTAGTCACCCTCCAGCTTCGGTGTCAATGTCATGGAGGTGTGGCTCTACAGAAGTGACCGGGGACAGACACACAGGGCTGCCCCGTGGAGGGTGCAGTGAAGTCGGGCAGTGCTCAACTCCCTCCCTGAGGGAGATCCAGGCTCTGCAGTGAGCAGCCCAACCTGGGCACCTCTTGGTGGCCACACGGCCTCCGTGTTGTCCCATCTATGATGATGTCACTCAGAACTCCCAGTCACGATCCTGGGTGGTTGCATCCCAGGTTACATGTGGCCAGGCCTTGGCAGGAGCTGATTTGCCCAGCATATTCCCATCAGGTGGATGATCCACATCTGGGGATGGACTTTTCTCTCCCCATGGAGCTTGCAGGGCTGTGAAGGCATCTGCAGTGAGCGACAGTCCCCCAGGTTTGCAGAAGTTTGCTAAAGCCTGGCGGAGCGGGTGGGAGAGCAGTGAAAGGACAGATAGAGGGGGAGGGAAGGAGGGAGGTAAAAAGAAAGATGCAGAGGATTTCAGCTCCGGCTCTGCTATAGCAACTTGGCGTGGGGTGTGTGAAGGAGCCTAAAACTTAAAAAGATTTATTTTCTCTAGTCATAAATCTCATCCCGTTGTTCCTCTGGTCAACCAAGCATGATAAAATCCTTTTCCATAAAGTATTCAGTATTAAAGCCACAAAGCTCACCCAATCAGTAGCCATCTGCTTCTCCCATAACTGCTGCTCCAGAAGCAGGGAAAAGCAGCCAGAAGAGAAAGGGCACCACTGTTACAGCTCTGGGACAAATGAGGAGACGCTGAATAGCAGCCGAAACCTTTAGTTTGCCTTGTATATCTGTATCTATAGAGACAGAGAAAGAAAGGAAGCATTATATTGATACAACAATCGTAAAACAAAAAAAGGAAGAGGCATCTGAAGGGCAATACAGCAGGCATCAGAGGGCCCCACTTAAAAAGGGATGCTAACAGATTTATGGAAACCTTTAATTGGTTTTCAATTGAAAGATAAAGAGGCTGAGGGGAGGGAAAAAAAAAACCCTAAAGCCAACTGGGAAGAGCAGCAGAGCAATCCGCATTCCACTCCTGCATCGGTGCTTGATCTCATGCAGCCACAGCATTACTTATTTGAAATTATACCCCCCGATATCGATCCCCCCAAGAGCATCCAAGCCGCCCAGCCACACTGCGCTGAACTTGACTTTCAGCCAGCTAGGATGAAAGAACATCACCCCCTTACCCCCAGCCCTCCACCCGGACTTGAACGACACATCCCAAAGCCTCCCGACGCTGGCAGCAGCCCTGGCATCGCACTGGAAGACGGAGGGAGCAGGGCTAGCTCCCAGAGACTTTTTTTGGGGTACCTGTCCTCTGGGGCGGGGAACACACTCCCTCCTTGTCTGCAGGAATAAAAAGCAGCTGTGGGGGGTTGTAGCTACACGGCAGCGGATCCTGCACGAAGCCGAATAGCAAGGAGAGGCAGCAGCCAGGACCGGGGAGATACAGTCAGCTCCGCTCCTTCCTGAGCCCCCTCCTGCCCCCACCACCGACTAAGTAGAGGGTTAATGACCCTCTAATGAGAGAGAAGGGCTTGCCCGAATACCCGTCCGCATCCCGCCGATGGCCTTGCACCTTCTGCCGGGGACTCGCACTTGCCACCGGATGTCGCTTTCCGGGATTACGACCAGGATTAGGAGGCGAGGGTGGATCCCAAGGAGTTTGGGAAGCCCCAGGGGTGGCTGCTCTGCAGGGTGCATGCTCCTTCCCTCCGGTGGAGGGCAGGAGAGTAAAGACAAAGCTGAAAATCGAGGCGAGATTGGTGTCCCAGGAACCTTCCTGCAGCAGAACTCGGTTGGAGATTATGCATATAAACGGGGGAGCTGCACCCCCTGTGCCAGATCACCCCCACCCTCGACGGCAGAGAGGAGCTGGAAGGACCAACGGGACCTGATCTGAAAGCAGAGGAAAAAAGGGTTGTTTCTTTTAGAAGTCCCTTTTTAAATGGGGGAGGGGAAGTGGCTGTGAGGGAAAACACCACAAGTATGATTTACACACCGATTAACAACCCGGGTGAGGAGAGAGGTTGAATGCTGCATTGAAGACACAAGTTACTCTGGCTTTTCCTGATCTCTGTGGTGCCCAGCAACACTGTATTATGTCAGAAACCTGGCACGGCAGCCAGTGGCACATCTGCTAGGTGTGGATGACATTCAATAGCCAAGGTTCTCTGCTAAACGGCCTGCCAGAGTCTCAGCAGTAATGCCCAATGCCCACTTGTCTGCTGCCAGCTCAAAGGCAAACCTCCTTCAAGTATGGCTTCTTTCCATGCTGGCGGGAGAACCAGAGGAAACAATGCATTTAGATGTTTGGGATGCAAGCAAGGTTGCACACTGGAGCAGCAAGCAGATGTAGCAGAAGAGGAGATGAAGTTGTGAAGTGTCATTTAATAATTACAGCTCATGGGAGATGTACTGGCAGGTTGAGGTTTGGGAAGGGGAAGTGTTAACCCCTTTCTAAACCACAGTGGTAGATGCTTTTTGAAAGGGAAGGCAATGACACTACTATAGGAAATTGCCTGTTTGTGATCATAAGATAGACAAAACCTTCAGCATGGGAAGGCTGCATGTCACGACAGCCTGGAAAGCAGCTGAGACCCATCAATGTGTCACTGTCACACCTTGTGGCATCCTGGAGTGTGGGTTTGAAACCAAACAGTGAAGCAGCCAGGGTGGGCTTTGAGATGCTATTCTGAGTTGTGCAGAGGTTTTCCTTGTTTTAGTGTTTTTTTTGGGGGGGGGGGGGTAGTGGTGGGGGTGTGGGGAAATAAACCCATGCAGATTTCCTGTGTGTGGTTCTTCTAAAGCCCACGGAGGAGAGAGGCAGGGCAGGTCTGTAGCACCCCCCTCTCCACTGCTTCCAGGCACCAAGCCCACAACTGTCCCCACCCAGCCACCTCATGCATGACCTGCTGCCTGTGCAGGGGAAGGAGCTGCACTGACCTCCTCAATAGCCCACCCGACCCAGGTTGTCCTTCCCCTCTGAAGCTTTACCTGCTGTAATCTGGACAACCCCATGCTCGCGACTTAGTGGGCTCAGTGCTGGTTTTGACATCTTGTTTCACAGCCTAAAAAGGAGCAGGCTGGGCACTCACTGTGCTCTCCTTCGAGTGATGTGGAGAGCGGAGATGGAGGGAGGAAGCATCTGCTTGGGGCTGCTACTACCACCCTCCTTTAGGGAGAAACACTCCATTCTCCTCTACTTGCAGGTCCTGTAAAGGTCCTTGTTCCTACAAAGGAATTAAACCACCTTACTATGAGATGGATGCAAAGATGTTAATCTTCCCCTATTATTACTTTCATAAAATTAGAACCACCTCATGAGGTTTGAACTTGAGCCAGTAGCTGGTTTTCAGTGAACTCAAGAATCAACCTTAGACAGGTGCTCACTGAAAGCTCCCTTCATTCCTCTGCCTTCCTCCAGCTTCCCTTCCTACTTCTATTTCTGTTTACATCCATTCATTTAAGTTAGTGGTTCATAAAATGTGTAAAATGCTACCTACACACAAGAGCATACAGCCCTTGCCTCATAGACAAATCTCTATGACAGCCTCAGTATCTTAAATCATAGAATTATAGAACAGTTTGGGTTAGAAAGGACCTTAAGATCATCTAGTTTCAACCCCCCTACCATGGGCCACTCTGCTTTTAAACCTCCCTGTGCTTTTAAACCTCCACATACATCTTTCTGCACCCCACAACAGCCCCACATCCATCCTTTCCCTACCTAGGAGCATGCTGCACCATGGTGGTGCCCATCTCTAACCCCACCTTGTGCTCTGCCCCAGGTTTATAGGACAACTTTTCCCATAGGCAGTGGTTTTGGCTTCCCACATTTCCCTGCCTGTCCATCTGTGGTGTAGGCTCAGTCGTAAGTCCTTGGCCTTTTAGCCTTCTGCTCCCAAAGTTGCTCTGCTCTGGCTGTATTTGGGATTGAGCCTTATCCACCTTCTGTTTCTGCACTGGCTTTGTCTTTGTGCTGGATAGTTGGTTGGCCTTAACCTACTAAATGTCTTCAGATTATAAAGTGTTTCCCCAATTTCCTACTACTCATGGTTTAACACTAGCTGCATCATACTAACACACTTTGGGCACAGGCTGTGTGAATCCCATAATGTACCATCCTCAGAGACTGTGACTGGGTGTGCTTTAAGAGCAAGAATCTAACTGAAAGATAGAGATGTGATGCTTTTCCCCCCATCTCCAAACATTACATCTTTGCTTAAACATGCCAGTAATCCCACCTGATCTACTCCTGTGCTTTATTAAGTGTTCACAGGGACATGGTCTCTATGCAGAGTAGTCAGAAGAGGGAAAAATGGGAGGGGGGGAGTTGTGGCCATGTTATTCTTTTCCCAGAGCCACATTCCCCTTCAGCCATTCCCCAAGATCAGGCTTCTGCCAGGGTTTGGCATTTCTCCTCCCATCACCTATGTAAATGCAGTAATCTTTAGGGCTGTCAATACATAGGGAAAAAATGTATTTAAAAAGCTCTTTTCAAACCAAGACTGATTTAATTTTTAATTTCAGGTTGGACTTGGTGGTGATTGTGTTCAAAACCATATTTCATTTTACTTTCAAGGTGTTTCTCACATGAGTCATTACAACTTTGTTCATTGCCACTATTTTCAGACAACTATGTGGGAGAGAGCAGAGTTATTACCATTTCTGCTGTAAGGGAGAAAACCACTCGTGCACGTGTTCCTTTCACTCTCAAAGGATTTTAAGCATGTACTTCAATTTAAGCCTAAAGTACTTTCTGGAACAGGGAGCGTCTCTTAGAACTGGGACTTGATTCAAAATCAGAGCTCATTCTCCTAACTCTCTGCTTTAAGCACTGGGGAAAAATCTCCTGCCTCGGCCATACAAGCCCATGTCACAGCGTTTGATACATCTCTTGGCACATGCACGTTCTAATTCACAATAGCACCAGTGCTTCCCCTCCTTACAGTTTGCTTTTCTTTGGGCACAGCGTATTATGTTTTACTGTATGTACTACTACATGCTGCTTGCACAATGTTTTGCGTGATCTAATATTCTTTGTTCAAAACTGCAAAAAAATCTAAATAAAGACTATAGTGTGTCGCAGCGGTATAGGCATCAGCTAACGTTTTCCATGGCATATGGTACTTCAGAAGCCATATGTACCACTGTTTAGTGATTCTGGCAAAGAGGCACAGAATGGTGAAATCCAACTGCCAGGATTTCTGAAAACAAATATGTAAATGCTCCAGTGCTTTTGTTATTCATAACATACCTCTAACACAGCACATACAATATGCTGTTCATTCTGTAATGAGTATACTACTAAGCTATATTTGCTTCAGTTCTCATTTTAAAAGATTTTTTCCTTTCTATGTATGATTCCTCCATCCTTTCCATCAAAATCCATGTAAATTGCAATTTACAAAAAGCATTTTATCTATTTCAAAGGATGAAATTTTGGGGGGGGGTGGGGGACTTTGTGTTGCATGGATATGCAAGGGTCTTGTATCAGAACAAAGACAGGCATTATTTCAACAGTCTGAGAATGTCTGCTACAAGTAGTGGAATGAAACCAAGGAAGGAAATGGCATTTAACGGGATTGGTTGTGCCCTGTGAAGTCTGTTCAGCCAGGGAACCTCCTAGGGAAAACTGGTCCCACTCACGAGCTAATGCAGAGCCAGTAGGCTGATGAATCCTTTGGGAGTACACTTGAGGGAACAATAGTTGTGGAAGGAACAGATGATTTGGGACACATGGTCAAAGGTAAATGACAGCTGCCAAACTCCAGCCTGGGCTGGGATCTGTCCTGGCAAGCTGGGGCTCCGTCACCAACCGAAGAGCAAAGGAGGTGCTCCACGGCTGTGGATTTCTCCCCACAGGGACCAGCAGCGCCAACACATCTTTGGTTCAGCAGCCCAAGAAGTCAGAGCACAGGAATAAGAGCAATGCATGGTCTCCGACTCACTTGGGTGAGCACAATTTGACTAGGGTCTGTCCTGACAGTCATGCAGAGTCTTTGTGCATCCATAAAATAAGACCCCACCAGTGCAGGCAGAAGCATTCCTTCCAGAACCAGCACGGGCAAGTAAATGGAATAAACACCTGATTCCCATCTCTGGCAGCACTACTCCATGGTGCTCCTCTCATCTGCAGACCGCCTGTCATCTCTGCTGAGCTTCTACTTGATGAAGTATTTCAAAATGTTGCTATTTAACATTCAGCTTCACCATTCACAACAAACATTTTAAAATTCACTGTCGCCACCATTGCCTCTGTCTTTCAGTTTATCAGTGTACACGGAGACTGAAATGATGGGAGTGATCAAACGTGTCAGCAAGTTGTTCTGCGGCTTAATCCTGACTCGTCTGGAGGAAGGCTGTTGTAAATTACTGTCAGAGCCAGCTCATACCCTTGCGGCTCTGGGCAACCCCAGCAAAACAGACAAGCCTTGAACTGCCTGGGGAATAAGAGGAGGGAAAAATAGAGATGCCTCTGAGAAACATTTGCCTTTACATTCATTGCTTTTGTTATTTATATTGTTACAACGCAACAACAAAACAGTGAATCCCCTGCACACCTTTTCAGCAAAACGCAGTCGTGCTACAAGTTCTAGTAAAGTTTCAGCCACCTCCACACATGACAGTATTATCTGAGACACATGTAAGCCTTTCTCCCAAGAGATCAAGCACTGCTTTTCTTTCTTTGCCAGTCTTGAACTACAGCATCCTATTTCAGCAAGCACCACTTCCCTCAGGGGGCTCGTGCCCGCCATAATCTCTGCCTAACTTTCTTCCTATGTTCATAATAGGCCTGCTTATTACCTAAAGTCTCCTGTCAAGTCCCCACTATACTATCCCAAGTTACAAACAGCCTGGGTGCCCAAACAATTGCTTTTCAGTG